TTGGCCAGGGGGCAGGAATCTGGCATCACAGCTTGGGACGGGCTGGGCAATCGATCATCGGGTGGTGAGCAATTGTGTTGCATCACAGTTTTGTACATTCTTTTACCATAATTATTATTATTTCCTCTTCTGTTACTGTTCTGTTAAACTGCCTTTATCTCAACCCATTAGGTTATTTCCCTTTTTCTCCCTTTTCTCCCTATCCTGTGAGTGAATGGCTACATGGTCCTAGTTGCTGGCAGGGGTTAAGTGACAGGAGTGGAAAGTCTGAAATTGCTCCCTTGGCTCAAGAAAATAACAAGTGAGACATGATGAAAAGAAAGCAAAGTCAGGACCTTCTGTTTTCCTATGTCACACGGAGTTAAGTTAAATTACAAAGCGGGACATTTATAGCCAATAAAAAGATTTTTCCCTGTCACACATTAAGAAATGAATTTTCCCCCAATACCAACGAAACAATGAACTAGATTAAAAAAGGATCTGGACATTTGTATGGATGATAGGCAGCTACAGGCAGCTACAGGCAGCTACAGGTTCATGCAAAGGTACTTGTAAAGAGAATTCGGATGCCAGCCACCAGCCTTGGCTCACTGTGACGAGGCAGGCAGTTGGTCTGGATGAACCTGGTGCTGCTCACCCTACTGCTGCTCTTGTCCTTGTTTACACCAGCCAGGACTGGAGGCAGGATACCTAAGCCAGAAGCTATGCTTGCTGCTGTGAGTTACATCTGGTGATCCAGATGCACCCAGACTGAGGGGATGTGGACCATTCCCCGCTGTACCCCTCAGTGTCGGCCTCCAAAGCTGGGTGGCTCGCCAGCTCCACTGGGAGTAACTCATTGGCCAGGAGCAGATGGAGAGATTGCCAATTAGCTCGGAGCAAACATTTTTAGGGGTCTTTCTAACTTGTTTATAGGCACTTCAGCTTTCAACACGAGCTCAGACACATCAGTTAACTAATATATGTATAGCCAGAGAGACTTTAACTGTTCAGTACAGTTAGGGCCTGGTTCCTCCACCCGAAAGATCCTGTGCGCCAGTATTTTTGCCTGCTTGGACACTGGTTTCAGCTCTTTCATCCCCATTCCCACTAATGCTTTGGCGCCACATCCCAACGAGAGAGATTGTTGTTTCCACATCCAGGCTAAATGTCTGTGGCGGCTCCTCTCCACCCCAGTAATGCTCTTACAGCAGCACTTTTCATCCACCCAACACACGATGGGCTTGAAAGTCTTGTTACACATGACGCAGGATGCGAGGCGGTGATGATCCAGCCAAAGCAAAACTGTTTGATGTTTAAATTGCAGGCATCAAAGTCACGAAAGGGCGCATGGCCAGCACGAAAACATTTCTGAAGTAAGTGGGACAAGAAGCTGGGCGTCATCAACCTATTCTCTGGCCATTATTTGACTGAGTTAAACTGGCCTCGTTTCTTCTTGGGAAGGACAGGAAATGCAGAGAAGCACCAGCTTTATCTGGCTCTGAAACCTTCACATCTGAGTATGGAAACCATAGCCAAGAGAACAAATAAATAAAAGCAACTGCAGAATTAAGGTTTTGTGCATGCATACAATTAAAAAACCCCCACACTAAACATGGTTTTCTTTAGAGCATCGTATATCAAACCAGGCATCAAATCTTTATTCTTTTAATTTTATATACAACCCTTAGCTAACTGCGTTTTTCTTCTGTCTTTCCCTACTTTTTCAGAATAACACTGTGATAAAACAACCTTTCTGCCCAGGTAGTTTTGGATTAAGCATACCTCCCAAAGTGTATCTGGAGAGGTTTGTCATAGCTTCATGAATCCCTGAATCAGCAAAGGAAAACGTTCCCAATCTGTGCCATAATGAAAACCAGGCTTTTGAGAAACGAGGCAAGTGATTCATTCTTCAAGATAATTTCTACAGAGCGCTGTCTCATTAAAAATGATAGAGTGACAAACTAATGATAATTATTTTGGTTGCTCCTCCTCCTGGAACGGTATCTAGTTAAAAGTAACAGCTGAAAAGGAAAAGAACATTATGATTTTTTGAATATATTTAGACACACTAATAGATGTGGGTTTGCATTTATATGCATGCATGGTCTTTATATGTATATATATAGAGCCGATACTGGGCTATACTGAGAAGAAAATGAAGCCATGCATGTCTTCTGATGCTTTTGTAGGAACTGTTGTTTTCTGAAATTACTAACTTCAATATAATAGAAAGAAGATATAGCAAAAAATTATTTTGCTGTTACTTCCCATTTCATTTAAAAAGTTGGAACGCTGAGCTGGAGTTATTCAGCCTGGAGAAAAGGAGGCTGAGGGGAGACCTTATCACTCTCTACAACTACCTGAAAGGAGGCTGTAGAGAGGTGGGGGTCGGTCTCTTCTCCCAAGTCACAGGCGACAGGACAAGAGGAAATGGCCTCAAGTTGCACCAGGGGAGGTTCAGATTGGATATTAGGAACAAGTTTTACACTGAAAGGGTTACCAAGCATTGGAATGGGCTGCCTGAGAAGTGGTTGAGGCACCATCCCTGGAGGTAGTGAAGAGACGAGTAGACATAGTGCTCAGTGAAACAGTTTAGTGATGTGGGTTTTTTTGTTGGAGGTTTTTTTTTTTTTCCAGTTAGGTTGATGGTTGGAATAGATGATCTTAAAGGTCCCTTCCAACCTAGACAATTTTATGATTCTGTGATCTAAAAAAAACCCCTAAAGCCCTGATCATTTAAAACAAAGGGAAAAAAGCATTGAAAATTTGGAACAAAAGCCTACCAATGGGTAACATTATTTAAGAGTAGGCTACTGTACTGTTGTTATAGATATATCAGAGTCAGCATGTGCTGAGACAAATGGCATCAGGCCAGAGAATACAACTTCTGCTGAATCAAAACCCAGACCCTTATCAGTGTGGTTTTTGACGCTGTAATTGTTCAACCAAACTCTAGATCCAGCACATGGATGAAGGACCCGATGTGGCTGCTATTTCTCAGCAGCCACCGTTGAATAACCAGACACACTTCGTTCCCATTTATGTAACAGCTATTGCAAAGCAAAAGTCAATAAAATGTGAGCGGCCAAGAGTTCAAGGATGCATCTGGTGGTCAGGTGATATGTTCCTGTACTGGGTTATTCTTTAAATGTGTGAGGTTAAAATTGACATCCTGCGCTTCAGCGCTACACAAGTAACCCCACCAAACAAACACCAAGGTAACCGAACAGCAAGGAGATAAAAAAAATAAGTTTATGACCCAACTGAAGTGACAAACTAAGGAAATTCAAAATTTACTGAAAGAATTTAGGAAATTGAAAGCTTTGGTTAACTTTCTTTAGAGAACTGTTGTACACGAGCAAATAAAAATGTAGGGGAACATTTTACTACATTTTTGTTATTCTGGGATTTTATGATCTTTCCTCTTTCTCCTCCTCTAAACAAGTTACTGAATCAAAAAATTCCATACACATATTCACCACTACCAAGTGGATTAGTTAAATAAGAGTTGAAGAGGATTCTTCAGTGCAAAGAATTAACTAGAGATGTTGCTATCTCAGAAGAAAGCTGTATACTGTTCTAAGCTAATGATAGCCCAGGAATCACTTACTTTTTCCCTGTTTTTCCAAGGTTAATTCCAAAATCTGCAAGATTAGCTTCTTCTAAGAAACTTCCTAACAATCTTTTTGTTTGCTTCCCAGTGCTTGGCATGATGTTGTTAAGAAAACACCAGCGTACTGACTTACGAAACATTGTTATGACACATTTGGGCTACAAAGGCCTACAAAATTCACCGTGAACATGAAGAGATCTACCTGCGTTCATCCCGTGTGACAAGTGGAACGCAGACACTTTCCCTCTTACCGTGCACAATGAAAACTGCACTGACCTAAATGAAAGGCATGGCCCAGTCCTGAAAACTGCAGGATAATACAGAACTTATTTCAGCTGTCAAGCTTAAAACCAGATATGCAGATTTGAAAATCTTAATATGACTTTTGATAAGAGAGACTTTAAATATCAGAGCTCAAGACAGATTCAGCCTTGCTACGTTATTGCCTTTTTAAATGCAAATTTAAATAGTGGCTTTTGGTTGCCTTTTTTTTTTTCTTTTTTTAGGCATACTTGCTTTTCATGAGATTTGGAAAACTAAGGTCTCATATGCAGGAGCCATCTTTTATGACAGAGTTTAATATCTATAACCATTTTATAGGCTATACTTACATGAAAAGAAAGATGGGGCTTGTTGTACAAACCCCATGCAAATAAGCCCATCATATACCTGAAAAAACTAGGAATGATCAGGCTAGTTTTTAAGGGAGCAGTGATTTTGAGCTCTTAGTCATCCAGGGAAGATCTGCCACTATAGGAATGGAACTACCCATCTTTTAGAAGGTGTCAAGTCAAACTGTACAGCAGACAGATCCCAGCGTCTCCAGCTTAAATCTATGAGCAGTTGTATTTGTCAAGAGTAAACATTAAGCTTTAAATAGTCTGATTTTTATGAGTGTAACAGATTTAACTTTTGTGGCGCTTAATTAATCTCAGATACAAAAAGCTCCTAAAGTACCTCTTATTTACCACGACTTATCTAGCATCTGTTAACTAAATGTGAAAAACACTATAAAAATGCAAATTGTGCTTAAGATGATTTGTAGTTGCGAAAGTGTATGGTAATAAAGAAACTTAATTTGAGAAGCCAAATGTATGCAGGTTTCAAACAATTAATTTTCCATAATGAGAAATACAGGAGGGCTTTCTGTCCGAGTTGCTAATAGAGACAATTTTAAATAGTCCTTTCTTACAGTAACATCAGTTAAAACTACTTTGCTCTTTTCAATTCCCACAGGATTAATATTGACTGAATAATTACAGCCATAATCTTTTCAGTCTCTTTACAAAAGTTTTCTGCAGAACTATGTCAAGAACATCAAATTTTCATTTATATACATAAAGATACTGACTTAATGGTAAAACTACAGGAAACATCCAGATGTCTAAGAATTAAAAAAAAAATCTTTTAAAGAAAACTATTTTTATTGAAATTCAATGTCTTAAGCACTGTGACAAAGTATATTTGTAAATCTGCATAAGTCTGAAGTATGTTTGCCCCTTACTCTGCCCTCCCTCCAAATAAATGAGCCAATTTTATACATATCTACAGTATTTAATAAAGATATCTGAACCAGCCAAAGTTTTTACATAATTGTTTCAGCACTTAAAATAAAGAGAAATATTTAATTTGCTCTCACTCAGACAGCAAAGTTAAATGGAGACTTAACAGTCTTCTGAAGAAATAACGCATGAAACCACTTTTTCTGTGGGGAAAGGCAGTATCTTAATACAATGATTTAAGAAAAACAACAGTTCAATTCAAGCAGTTTATAACTCTGTTCTTATTTAAATGCTTAAATGTTTGCCCGTTGATCATACCTGATGAATAATTAATTACTACATCTTTTGGAGTTTGAATTAGTATTTTTTAACAAATTATTGGAAGTTATTCGATAGGGTTTTCTATAAGTTCTTTGGCTACATACATTAAGGAAGTTCAATTCACATGAAAGCTACTACCTACAAGTACCTTAAAAATAATACACATTTACAGATTATACAGGGATCAGAGTGCAAATATGATGACAGCGTTATTTTCAAGGACCAAGTTACTTACAACATCCATTTTTACATCCCAAACAGAGAGCTGCAGACAAAAAGAAATGAGATTCTTAGACTAAAAAAATCTCTTTGCAGAGCTTCTTGACCACCTAAAAATGCCTCAAACTAAACTGTTGCTTCATGTAGTAATGTTATCGCTTTTAATTGTGACATGTAACTTGCAGTGTCTTTTTTTTTTTTTCCTCCTTTTGAAGACTGTAGAAGTTCAGAAACTGCTCATATAAAGAACAGAAATACTGGTTGTATTCCCATATGGAATTATAATGATTTAGATTCTTTTGTGTCTTTTGAAGATCTTTCGTAAGCGAAATATGAAAGCAGAAATCCATGTCAGTTCTCAGGAAAAGCTTAGGGTTACAGTGATTTTCTGGAAATGCTTAATTTTCTTCTTGCAGCATTTCTTCTATTTCTTTATCCCAGTTTTCATCACGCTTTTCTGATTCCGTCACCACCTCATACTCTTGAAGCTCTTGTTGTAATTCCTTTTCCCAATCAGCAGTTTCTTCTACAAGAGATAAATGATGTGTAAGAATTAAATTGATACTACAGAATGTTGCTTATTTATATAAAACTAGATGCATTTGCACCGAATCTCTCATATCCCGTGAATTTTATGGACAATTCTCCTTAAAAATTAAAGAAACTTCAACATCAGAAATTTCTTCTTCCTATCAACCACAAATAGGAATTAATTAATATGCAAGTATATATTCCTATGTGCATACTATAATAAAGGGATAAAAAGCAAATATGGAGCTTAGTTGTAACAAATGTCCCTTTGTAAGTTCATTTCCTACAGTCTCTCAGTCGATTATCAACTGAATCTCCCTTTGTACTTTTGAATCTCTGAAAAAAAATCAGTGCAGTTCATAAGTTTGTTGGAAATCCTGTTATGGAAAAAAAAAAAAATCACACTCAAATAATGTGGATAATTTAAAAAAAAGAAAAAAGAAAAGAAGCAGGTATTCTCCTCGCTGACATTTGTAGTTAGGCAAGCTCATTTAATCAGGGTTAAAGGTAATCAGATTTCATACTTCAGGGCAAAAAATGAGTCAGAAGGCATTCCTGTGTTGTTAATCTCTGTTTTAATTAGCTCTACCTATCATATGCAAGAGTATGGGGGAGGAGATGGGTGTTTGATGCATTACATGCTGTAATGCATCAGTACTTCAGCCTAGATATGAAGGTACGTAATTCCATAGTCCAAGTCATTAAGGCCAGCTGAGATCTCTCTGAACAAATTATATGACTTATTGAAACACTTCTATCACAAAGCTAGACATAAGGAGCTGATATTACTTATTAGAATCCCTCAAGCTTGCCTATGTATTGGAAAAAAATAATAATTTTGGAAAACAAGGATTAAACAACATCTAAAACACATTGTAAGATGAATTCTGAAAATTGTATTATAAGCATCTACATATACAAGTGTCTTCAGAGTAAATTGTTCCTTTTGTATGGCCAGTCACATCATCACAGATTGTTTTTATGCTTTTTACAGTGATATTAGTTCTGAATTATTTTAAGTATCACCCCCACTTTATTTCTTCTCATCATTCTCAAATCTCTGTTCCAAATGCACGTACACCTTTAACAGAGGCATCTGCAAGCTCAGAGTCTGGTGCAGATACTGCCTTTTTAGCTGGTGTCACAAGAAGAAAACCTAGCCTGACTTCCTAATACTGTACTTTTACTTACAAGGATGTCAAAGAAAGAAAAATTCATACACATAAGGACCTATGAAAGAAAAGGCAGGGAAAAGAGGAGGTAGACAGACAAAAATACTCCACTGTTGCTTTCATAAAAGAGCCACCTGAAATTGTTAGGTTCTTTGGATTTAAACTCCTCACAGCTAGTGTTCTGTATAGGACGTGGTTCAACTGTGGTGAGAATTATCATTAATTTCTGCAATATTTCATTGCAGATCATTTCATAGACTTTGAAAAACAGTCATGAATCTATTTTCTTAAAGCAAATTACATAGTTTTAAAAAAAATAAAAATCAATCTAGCTTAGAATTGCTATATTTAAGACCCGGAAGGTAATAATAATAGATTTACCTTCTACTACAGAATTATCTTCTTTCTTTTTGTCTAGCACCAGTTGTTCCATTTCTTTTCTTAGGTCTTCCTGATTCAGATTACAGGCATCAAAAGCATCACTCACAAATTCTGATACACCTGGACTTGTGGAAATCTCTTCCTCATCCTGTAGTAAGACAGTTTTGTATAAGCTCATTGAAAAAGGCAAAAAAAAAAAGGTCACTGGTATATACTTCCACTCATGTGACTGACTACCTTTTAAAAAGAGCAAGAAAAAACAAAACCAACACAAACCAAATGCATTACTCTGAAAACTATTTTTCTTTATGGGCTATTTTTCTTTAGGAGTATCTTTGTACAGACAAAAATATTAGATAATTTTACTGAAAACAACCTGCTTTTCATCCTAGGCTAGTTTCTGTTTTCTCTTCACAACTTTAATTGTTTTTGTAATCTTCAGAAACAATAATAAACTCCTAAGTACTTTAGAACAGTTTGACCACAGTTCAGTAACAGTTTTCTACACACAAATAAGATTGAGAGGACTGTTCTTTGGAAATCTTTCTAGCTTAATTTAGTCCACTGCTTATTATTGGCAAACGAATGCACAGCTCTTCTGCCAAGAGTGTTCTCTGGCACTGATTTTACAATCCAGAAATGAACAAGGGTCATTACGTGTCTAAGTTAAAGGTTTCTGCAGTATCAAGCAAAACTTTGCTTGTCAGTGCAATAAAATAATGTTGCTATTACAAGTTATCATTTAGATTTCCTAGACTTAAGCCTGACAACTACTGAAGAGTTGGTCAGAATGTGGCACACAAACACATTTTCGTGAAGGTACTCCTCATGTCTAAATGCAATGCAAACCTTCTATCCCAAACATTTTGGAAATGTCACTTTTCAGAGTGAAAACGTGTTCAGGATACTAATAAAAGTATTCTTCAGATAAACTACTGTTTCTTCTACTGAAAATGATTTTAAAGTGTATGCACTAAAAATTAATATCACAACAGAACAGCAGCAGGTTAGGACTGTCAGGTATTATATTATTATGGTTTCCTAGCACAACATACTCAAAAGGATGCATAATTACCTATTAAGTAACAGTTTCACATACTAAATACCAGATAAAATATAACAGTATTTTTACCTCTTGAGATTTTATTTGAGGCTTTATTGTAACAGGCGGTGTTTTTGGCCGTACTGTTTCTATTGAGAGGGAAAAAAAAAAAGTAGATTACATTTAAATGCATAAAGATCTCATTTAATCTGCATCGCTATTAAATATATTAGGAAATATTGTATTTTGTGTTTTAAGAAATCCTGGTGTTTTAACAGCTGAATTCAGCCATAGGTGAAGTATTTGCAACAACAACACGGAAGAGAAGCAATTTTCTATTCTTAATTAAGGCAAATTAGGAAACTGTTTCCTCTTATAACTCCAAAGTTAAATCATAGGAATGCCTCTGCTCCTCAAAACAATCCAAAGAACTATCTATATAGGAACAGCTGGGCATCTGAAAGAATGTCTTCTATAAAACACTTCCAGATTGCACTGCATATCATGACATCTTTAAAGTTATGAAGGTGTAGACTTGGTAATGAAATCCAGTTACTGCCTACCACAGAAGTTCCCAAACTCCCCTGGTTGGGTGCTACTGCTACTGACACGAGCACTAACTGCTCTTAGATACACCAGACTGTGTCTGCACACACCCCCCTAATCACCCATGAGAAGTGAGCCTTGTCTTTTTTCACACAGGCAGAGAAAGTCACTGAAAAACATAAACCCTGGAAGCTGTTCCCAGTCTCCTAAGAAAACTCACTGTGCATTCTGCATTTAGAGCATGGGTGTTAGGAAGACAACAATTGTTCACAAGCAAGGACAGATCTTTTTCTTGGCAGGTAAAGGAACACCCCAGCTTTCTTCCTTGTGCAACTAGCAGAATATAGGAGTCACAATGAAGAGCCAGGTGGCGGCAAGAGCTATTACCATACGGGGCAGGTTGTGGTAGGGATGGAGTGCTTGCTTAGCAGTTCTATTTGTTTAAACATGCAAAGCAGCTCTGAGCTTGCAGCTCTGCTTACAGCAGGGCACCCAGGTGGACCCTTCCTGCTTACTCAGCGATTTTTGAAGGGGGGAATTTTCTCAGGTTTCATTTTTAAAATAAAGATCAGTTTTAATTAAAGTAATTCCCCTAACTGGTAGCTGTCATGGCTTATACAGCTCATCTACTCAGTGCCCACTGCGCTGCCCCATCCTTGCACTTCCTTCCATCATCTCCTCCACTGCTGATGTGCTTTCTGCCCCTGAAGTAACTTTATTCCCAAGTAAATAGTTACTACCACCCAGAGAAGGATGAGAATGCAGCAATTTGTTATAGATCTAACATGGTCTCTACACTGGAACATAGAATGTCTTCCACTTGTCCCTTCTTTTTTCCTTTCACATCAACCATGACAATTTAACTTTGTGGAAACAGCAGGTAAGGAGAAGACAGAGATAAAAATGGAAGGCAATTAATTCTATTTTATAGACATCAGTCAGCTTTAAGAAGAAACTCTGAACATTATGAAGAGTTACCAACAGGCAATTATTTCCAGTTTTAGCCTCCAACCAGGGAATCCAAACTTCAAAAAGGTTATTTAAATAAAAATTAACATTTTCAACTCAAACAAAACATGTATTTACTACAGTCTGGTAAATATATCTTTTCTATTACAAGATATACAGTTATTGGGACAGTAAATCTATCTGCATATCCTCTACTGGTCTCCTGTGAGAACAGTGAAAAGTTTGCAGCAGGACAAAAGACTGCACTTTTTTTTTTCCTGATTTCTTTTTTTTAAATTACAATGTTTTGTTTTCAGTTACAATGGTAATTTTACTAGAATTTTAGAGTTTACTAGATTCTAGATTTTTCTAGAATTACTGAAACTCTTTGGGTATTATCCAGCAACTTTCTCTTTGACTGGCAATTTCCAAGGGTTTGAACTACTCCAAGATAACAGGTTTTTTTGTTCAATAGGGTCAGTTGCCATCTTTCCTGTAGAGCTAAGACACTTCAATTAAAACAGCTATAGTTTAGCAAATATGACTACTGCAAAAAAAAAAAAAAAAAGAGAAAAGAGGTTATGCTGCCCTAGGAACTTACAGTTTAATACTGCCCATTTAACGACATAATTTCCGTAAAGGAAACCTCCAGCACTGTAATTAACAATAGAGTAACTTCTATTTGACTAGTCAGTTAGCCACAACAGCAGCAGCACTCTTTTTTTTCCTAAAATTGGTTTAGTGAAGCAATGATATACAGAAATCAAACAAAAAGCTCAGTGGAAAGGGCAAGCATACTGATAGTAAACAAACTTCACAGAGAGTATGTTTATAAACAACAGTGAAGAAAATATCTTTTGGCAGAATTTATGTTTCTAATCTTTCCAAATGCAACCTTTCCCTCTATACAAAGGACTAAACGCAGTAGCAAATGAAAGGAACCAACACTCAACACTTTTGACCTGTTTAGGAGATTGGTTGACAGAGTCCCTTGGGAGGCAGTTCTGAAGGCCAAAGAGTCCAGGAAGGCTGGACATTCTTCAAGAAGTAAATCTTTAAGGTGCAGGAACTGGCTGTCCCCATGTGCTGTAAGACGAGCTGGCGGGGAAGAAGAACAGCCTGGCTAAACTGAGAGCTCTGGCTAGAGCTCAGGAAGAAAAAGAAAGTTTATGGCCTATGGAAAAAGGGGCAGGCCACTCAGGAAGACTACAAAGACTGTGTGAGGCTCTGCACGGAATAAATCTGGCTACTGCTGTGGAAGACAATAAAAAAACGTATCTATAAATACATTAACAGCAAAAGGAGGACTAAGGAGAATCTCCATTCTTTATTGGATGCAGGGGGAAATATAGTGACCAAAAATGAGGAAAAGGCTAAGGTACTTAATGCTTTCTTTGCCTCTGTCTTTCATAGGAAGACCAGTTGTTATTGAGGCACCCAGCCCCCTGAACTGGATGACAGGGATGGGGAGAAAAGTGAACCCACCATAATCCAAGAGGAAATGGTGAATGACCTGCTACAATACTCAGACACAAAAAAACCTATGGGGCCAGATGGGAGCCACCCAAGAGTACTGAGGAAACTGGCAGAAGTGCTCACCAAGTCACTTTTCACTGTTTATCAGCAGTCTTGGCTAACTGTGGAGGTTCTCGTTGACTGGAAGATAGCAAATGTGATGCTCATCCACAAGAAGGGCTGTAAGTAGGATCCAGGGCTCTACAGGCCTGTCAGACTGACCTTGGTGCTGGGGAAGGTTATGGAACAGATCATCTTGAGTGCCATCACATGGCATATGCAGGACAACCAGGTGATCAGGCCCAGTCAGCATGGGTTTATGAAAGGCAAGTCCTTCTTGACAAACCAGATCTCCTTCTATGACAAGGTGACCCGCTTGGTGGATGAGGGAAAGGCTGTGGATGTTGTTTACCTGGACTTTAGTAAAGCCTTTGACACTGTTTCCTACAGCATTCTCCTGAAGAACCGTCTGCTCATGGCTTGCATGGGTGTACTCTTCACTGGGTAAAAAAACTGGCCCAGAGAGTGGTGGCGAATGGAGTTAAATCCAGTTGGAGGCTGGTCACAAGTGGTGTTCCCCAGGGCTCAGTATCAGGGCTGGTTCTGTTTAATACCTTTATAAACGATCTGGACAAGGGGAATGAGTGCACCCTCAGTAAGTTTGCAGATGACACCAAGTTAGGTGGGAGTGCTGATCTGCTTGAGGGTAGGAAAGCTCTGCAGAGGGATCTGGACAGGCTGGATGGACGGACTGAGGCCAATGCTTTAACAAGGGTAAGTGCAAGTGCTGGGTCCTGCACTTGAGTCAGAATAACTCCATTCAGTGCAACAGGCTTGGGGAAGAGTGGCTGGAAAGCTGACCAGCAGAGAAGGACCTGGGGGTGTTGGTTGACAGCCAGCTGAATATGAGACAGCAGTGTGCCCAGGTGGCCAAGGCGGCCTGGCCTGTATCAGAAATACTGCGACCAGTAGGACTAGAGAAGTGATCGTCCTCCCGTACTCAGCACTGGTGAGGCCGCACCTTGAATACTGTGTTCAGTTTTGGGCCCCTCACTACAGGAAAAAACATTGAGGTGCTGGAGGGTATCCAGAGAAGCTGGTGAGGGGTCTGGAGCACAAGTCTTATGAGGAGCAGCTGAGGGAACTGGGGTTGTTTAGTTCAGTGAAAAGGAGGCTGAGGGGAGACCTTATCCCTCTCTTCAACTACCTGAAAGGAGGCTGTAGAGAGGTGGGGGTCAGTCTCTTCTCCCAAGTAACAGGCAATAGGACATAAGGAAATCGCCTCAAACACCAGGGGAGGTCTAGATTGGATATTAAGAAAAATTTCTTCACCGAAAGGGTTATCAACATTGGAGCAGGCTGCCCAGGGCACTGGTTGAGTAGTCATATCTAAGGGTATTTAAGACATGTAGTCATGGGGCTGAGAGACACGGTTTAGAGCTAACTTGGCAGTGCTAGGTTAACAGTTGGTCTTGCTGATCTTTAAGGTCTCTTCCAGTCATAACAATTCTATGATTCAAAGATCTGTTGTAAGGCACTACTTCACCAGAGGTGAAGACAGTCACTACTCTTAATAGTCCATAATAGAGTCTTATTAGTTGATGTAATAAAAAAACCCAGAGGAACAGAAATCAAAAAGATTTAAAAAAAAAAAATCACAACAATAAAAAAAAGAAAGAAAACTAGACATATGTCCCCTAGTTAGGTGCAAAAGTTTATGAAATTATAAGAATCCCAGTGATTTTCTGAGTTAATGGTACCTGCACAATGTGACAGTAAACAATCTGCTCAATGAAAATGACAAAAACAGGGAGCTGAATATTGTGGGAGTGTAGAAGTGACGCGATATAAACAGGTAAGTAGGAAATGAACCTAAATACAGCCTGCACTAAAAAGTAAAGACAAAAGGTTTCTGTTATGATGAAGGAGTTAGTACGGAGCATTTAAGAGTAGCTCCTCTATACGAGGAAAAAATTAAGTCTCAGCTTCCACAAAACTGATCAGTTGTTTTTCCACAGAATATTTCCCCTTTTCCTCTAATGTTTACACAGATAGAAAAGAACATGCTTACAAAACTGCAGAAACAGTAGCAAGATTCACTAGCATGTAATTCTCAACTCTGTTTTCTAACCTGCACATATTTTAAGTTAGAAGTACAGAAAAAACCAAACACAAAGCAGTCTTTTGAACGATAGTGAGCAAAAGAATTTCATCATTATAGTAAACACATAAATCATGTTGGGGTATTTCTCTACTATCTTTGTCAATCTTCCCAGGGAGGGAATCCTGCTCCCTGCAGCCCACTGCTGTGTGCTGGCTATAGTTTGAGGAGAACATAGCTTACCTCTCCTCAAAGGCTAGCATCCTCTGGAAGGCATGTGGCCTGTGGTCACTTTGCATAGATTTGGCCTAGATCTCCTCTGTGCTCCATTTAATAAGCTCAAGTGAGACCACAATTTTTTTTAAGCTTAAAAAGCCTGAAATAGCATGAGTAGTGTTTCCACGATTGACAGCATGCTGTTCAACATAGAGACATGCTGCAATGTTTGATTCTATATAGCCCATTGGGACAGCAGACAACTCTCCTGCATAAAAGAAGTCAGAATCGGTGTCTCTTGGTCTGCAGTAGATTCTGGAGTGACCTGTCCTGTCAGCATTGATTGGATTTTAACTCAGAGAAAACGAATTTGTTCATTCTAGATGAGGACCTTGCCTATACTAATACACACGCGCTCAGAACAGAACCTATCAGAAACAGAATGAGACAGACAGACAGCAAAAGTGCCCACACACACACACAAAAGCAGCTTGATGAAACTACTACAGTCCTTGTGAAAAGGTATCTTTTATGCAACACGCAAGCCCAGCTCTGTAATTCCCTTTGTAAACTCCCCTTTACCCCAGGGTTCAGCTGCCTGTGTCCAAGGAGCCAAGGCCCAGCTGAGTAACCTAAGCTCAGACTGTGCAGAAAATTACTAAACTGTACAAAAGAGCTGTAAGAAAGTCTGTAATAAGATAAGAAAGGTGAGATTAGAAACTGAGCTAGAATGAGAAAGATGGGATCATTAGCAGTGCAAGGACTCAAGAGGAAAAAATACCAACATGGAAAGATATTATATTCAAAACGAGGGAAAAAGATGTCAACTTTGAGTGATAAGTTGGAGTGATAAGCAGTGTCAACAGGACCTCAGCACTAATGCATTCTGTGGATTATTACAATTTATTGATTTTGGGAATATTAGAATCTGTTCCAAGGTGCAGCAAAGGCTTTCTCTTTCTGTATCATGCCTAGTCAGCCTGCTAAGATTCTTCAGGTGTCTATCAGGCGTATTGAGCATACCTAACTTATGCTAAGATTTAATAAGCTACTAGTTATTTTTTTGTCTTAGCCACTAACTGCTTTGTACTCTTTAAACTGCACATATTCCTGCTTGCAGAATTTGTTTGCATGCAGATAAATATGCCCAGTTCACTAGTCAGTAAGAATAATCTGTATAAGCTGATCAGTGTAACTGAAGAAGCCTACATTGAAGTGGCTTTTTCATCTCAAGGCTGAAGCCCAGGTAGGCTCTTGGTACCCATCTTCCTCCATTTCTATAATACACGATGTGCTTTTCCATGTCCTGTATGCATGTCTGCCTCCACCACCACAGTAATTCTACCTCTAGATCACTAACTTTGTTTGGCCTGAGGCCTAAGCAAAAGCCAAGAGCAAACCGTATGTCAGCTTGTTGGATTGGCTAGTGCCTCTTGTCTTGTCAGGTGAACCAGTGTCACCTCCTACTTCTTTCTAACAAGTCAAAAAAGCACAGCAGAGACGACTAGTGGTCTTCAGCTGTTATAAGCCAAGCACAAAATTTCATCTCTTGAGATTTCCGCTCTTCTGACAAAGTTGGCTGAAATTGGAAAAAATGACTTAAAAGCACTAGGAGCCTCATCTACCCCCATCTGTAGACAGACCAAGTACGATGAGAGAAGCTCTGATTTAATAGGAAATCTAGGACACAAATTTGATGTCACTTGATGTATACAGTCAGTCTGTATGACGCTAACTTAATGGGCTGTGCTAAAATAAATCCTTTGCATACCTTTCAGTTGACTGTCTTCTTCTCTGCCTTTGTTCTCTTCTTTTCCTACTGCTTGCTGTTGAGCTGCAAGTGCAGTGAGTTGTGCAGACTGTTTAATTAGGGACACCCTGTAGAAATAGTTTCTCCAGAACACCTCCTCCTTTACGCTAGAGAGAACAAACAGATTTTGATTACTATGTTTGGAAATACTTTATTTCATCTAGCAATGAAATAAAATTAAATGTCCAGAGGGAAGAAGGAGGCATACTGCCTTTTAAGTAAAAGCTTATAAATTTGTGATATTAAGACTGTGTTAAAAAATCAATCCTTATAGAAGTTCTTGATCTCTTACAAGACAATTACAATTGGACATATAACAACAACAACAACAATAATGTTATTTCTTTAGAAAAAGCTTAATGGCATGCAGCAATATATAGTTTGGAAAAATATGCCATTCCTTCTCTCTTGCCAAATTATGTAAACAAACCAAACAAGCCAAATTAACCCTATTCTGTCCATATACTCTCCAAACCCAGCATTTTATCATTGTCAAATTACATTCATCTACATCTTCCCTAGACCTCAGGTCAAACTGGAACATCTTTGGCCTACAGGCAGAAGCCATTCCTAGCTTGCAGCAGAACTATTTCACTACCTTCACATCTTTCAGCATGTCTGCAGAACCTTCTGTAACTAGAAACTGCCATCTCACAAATTACCAGCTCTGATAAACAAGAGAGCATCTCATTTTTTAAGGTAGCATTTCCCTCTGATAATCCTCCAGTAAGCAAGAGACACAATTTTAACCCAGAGGAACAGAAGCCAGAAATAACAAAGCCCATGGGGAGGAAAGTGTGTAGGTCAAAAAAGAAAGAAGAGAGTGAGGTTGCCTTCCCCCCCGCTTTAGGCAAACAGTGACTACGGAGACTAAGAACAGAAAAAAAAAACATTAAGCAATGGGGTAGGAGAGGCAAGGATAGCATGATCAGAGGCTGAAGACAGAGCATCAGAGACAGGTGTGATGAAGACGTAGGGTATGGGCAGAGCTTTAGGACTGACAGCAGCAAAGAACAACAGGGAACGGTGGAAATAACATAAGGACCTGTGAAGGTTTATAAGTGAAGGAGATTTAAGATAGCAAAGTGCACAAAGAAAGATGTTTTCTTTCCTGTTTCCATCCTCAGACAAGAGACTAATGTTGGGAACTCCTGGTTAACAAGAGTGTGGACCTGTGAAACAAGCTTAACGAGCAGAGTCTGGGACTGAGTAGGGAAGGAGAACAGCACTGGAATAAAGCTGGGATCAGGAAGCCATACTGGAATAGGTCATAACTGCTGGGACGAATACCTTACAGATCTTTTAGTGAGGTCCACTAGAAGGAAGGCAGTCACAACACAGAGCTTTTCCCATTGCCTTTTCTCCAGGGGGCCTCTATCTCTATAAACCTTTTTGGGGTGTCAGTTACACCAGTAGATCTGAATGCTTTTGCTGCTGCATGTTGCTCCCTTTGTTTGGGAGAAAGATTTTTCAATCAATTTAGCATACTGGATATGGAAAAATTTAAGGCCTCTCCCATACTTAAGTCAACAGGTTCTTATTAGTTTTGAATTTCTAACAGATCTACTTCTGTTCTTTTTTCTAACTGATGAACTGCAATATTGCACATGCAATATTCCATGCATTTGAAAATAGCAAATATATACAGAGGAAGTATATAAAGAAAGAATTTAAGGAAGTGAAAAGAAGTAATTTACAAATATTTACAGACACATTAAAAAGTACAACCATACATAGTTACCAGCAGAAAATACTTACTGTTTGGGAACGAGATCAAACCTCATCCTGTTGAGAAGTTGATCTTCTTGTAACATCACCATTGCAACAGGGTACATTTGATCAAAGTCAAAATTAAACTGCACACCTGCTGGAGGATCCCGCAGAAAATTTCGTTTATCCTTTGAAGAACATATTTATGATCATTAACTGATACCAGGAAAAAAGATATCGTATTTCACACACAAGACCAGCAAAGCAATCCCACTTCTCACATAATTCTATCACACCACAAAGCTGCAAAGGCTTTATAAAAATAAAAAATTATATTGGGGATCTACTTTGGCTCAAGTTGATACTGAAAGAACTATTTACTCTTGCATATAATCAGCACAGTGACAGACACATTAAAAGAAATATACTGAAAATATATAATTTAATAATGCCTGCCAAAATTACTTGGAAAAAAAAAAAAAAAGGACGTTTTAACCTCTCCAACAGAAAAATTTTAGATCTTACAGGAAAATAAATACTTACTGCTGATAAGGCCAATATTTGTTGTTGAATTGTCTCTTCTTCATTGCTGTCTACCCAAGGAGGCACTGCTGCTTCTGTTATTGAAAGGAGGAAAATAATTGCATGTGTATTACTTTAAAAAAAAAAAGAAACACAAAACCACCCGGATCTTACTTAAAGTAACATATGATGTCAAAACAATAAGCAGGCTTACATCAGAAAGCCAATACATTGTTCCTGTTTCCTAAACTAAGCTCATGGCATAAGAGAGAAAGTCTAGGAATGGCTCTTTGCTTATCAGATGTAAAAAACCAATCAACAAACCAAAACAACTTGCTGATATTCTGTTATAGTAAAACTAAAATTGTGGGGATTCTTATCAGTGTGCACCTGTCAGAAGTTGGTGCCTCTTAGTTTAATCACCGAAGTACTGCTATATAACTGGTTAAGCCACCCACAAATAGAAATGTCTAGATCCACTTTAAACATGTGAACTTTGCCAAAATAAATTTGTCAAAGTTTTCAAAATCATTTATAATTGTATTAGTTTTCTAACACTCAGAAGGCAGCAATTCTTTAGCAATGGAGAAAAATACATTACAAATTTGTTGTAAATTACAACATGCTATACACAGAATAAGCATACTTGGGTTCAGACGATTTATGTATTTACACAGAGACATCCAAAATAGTTCTGTAGGCTGTACACAGAGAAAAATAAACTATTGTAGATGTACAGAAAACTATTACCCTCTTCACTGTCAATGTAAATTCAACTGAGACATTATGATGCATTTGTAACAGTTAACGAATATGTGCTTAAACTAACAATGCTTATTTGCTTATGCACCTCACGTAAGCAAGATTTTTCACCCACATGGATTCACACCTGATGCTAATGCTTCTTTCAGTTAGGCCATCTGTTATGTCTCCTTTTGTCAATCTAGCTACCTATTTTCATGCAACTTGTAGAAATATAAACAGATGCCAAAGTTTGCTAAGAGACAAAAAGACAGAAATACAGACAACACGATCACATATGCAGTCTTGCAAGAAGAAACCAGACTAAGATAGTAACTAGTGACACTATGAAAAGTTTTATCACAATCCATTTAAAACCAGATCATTTTCAAGATTAACAGCAGATTAATTGTCAGAAGTTATTGCATCCAGGTAACACATTACAGATAAAACCCAACGTCAAAAAAACCAATTGAACTTATTTTAACGTCTCAAATAGTTCCACTGATGTATGTCAATAGTACATGGGTGGATAATTCAAAGTATTTAGATCACAGATAATTATAAAGCAAATGATTTATGGGAAAACACAAGAGCAATTATGCCTTTAATGTAAGCAGAGCAACTCCTACAGCAAAACTAATTAAATACTGTACTGCAAACCCTAACCCATGTTTATCATTTCATTATGAAAGCATGACACAATTGCTAATGCTCAAAAGAAAAGTAATCAGCATGCCTGTTTCCAATAAATACACAGGCTTAAGATTGAAAACAACAAGAGATCAGCTTTGCTAGCACAGTGATCTTTTGAGTTAATTTCATAAAGTTGAATTTGGTTAAAAGCACATCTAAACCAAGTAGATAGTGTAACACTAACCTCACTTAAAAATGTCATCTTCCTATTCCACAATATATTTTAAGTTCTGCCATAATGTGTTTCATTAAACAGAGTTTTGATAGATCAGGTTTAGACATAGCTCAATTATGCAGCTTCCAGCGAGTTTCAGGTTACACAATGTTACGCGTTATCAAAAAAAATGCATACATTACCTGATTTTTTTGTTTGCTGCTCTTGGACAAATTTTTTCTGTTCCTTCTGAAAATCTCCAATAATTGTCTAAAATAAAAATTAGGGAACAACAATAAAAAAAGAAAATCCATTCCTCTTGTTTCATGTTCACTCAGAAAGTGCTTTCAAATACACCGCAAGATCATATTCTTATATCCCTGGAGGCCCTTTTTGTAAGTCAAAGGTGTTTCATGTAACTCATACAGTCCCCTTAATCAAAATATTTGGTTTTGCCTTTAAAAATTTAAACTATTTTGTATGCTTTCAAAATTATATTTATAGTTTTATCAAGTTCTGGGGACTGAAAAAAAAAAAAAGGAAAATCACAGCTGATAATTTAGGCATCAACATGCTATGCATATACACTTACCACCTTGCCATATCAAATAGAGATAACATAGACTGTTTAAAGCATTAAACATTTAAAGATACCCCTGGCCTTACAATAAGTTTCAAGAGTTGCCTAAGAAATATATCCATTGCAATAATCAGACTTGCAAAATTGTTAAGTATCATTTTAAGTATGTCTGCTTAGCCGAAATGATTTCTCCATTTATGTTGACAAATCTTCATCAAAAAGTATGTTCAGAAATATCCTATATTAATTTTAGAATTCAGAAGTGGAGAATAGTCTCAGAAGTTGGCATGCCATAATCTAGAAGTAACAATGCAAATGTTGTTCTGTAGTTTAAAGCAGAGAGAAAAAGCCATGAAGTTAGATATTAAACCACTCACAAAATACAAATTTTATGCAGTGAGATCTAAGGCTTAATGAGTTGCCAAAAGAGCATGCAAGTCTTCAAGCTAGATCCTGATAAATTCCTACAATTTTTTTTTCCTTCCAAAACCCAGCATTTCAGTTTAAGATTAACATCAGTGAGAGAATTACTGTAGTGCCTGTTATAAAAGTCAATCATTGTGATTCCTCCTGTTGTCAGTTATATGAATTTTTGGTATTTATGGAATAAAATAATTTAAGTGGTATAAGAAAAAGCTTTGTGACGATATAGCTATAATCCTGTTTCTCCCATATATAAACTTACTCATCAAAACAAGGAATTCATATAACTCCAAGGCATTCACAGAAAAAAGAAAATGGTATTTTAGGCGTAAAATATGCCATAGGTACTTAGCGACAGTTTCTTATGAGCATTATTAGTTGTGTATTAAATTACCAAATAGCCTTCTTACTTGATTTTTCCTGTTTGATATAGATCAAAATCATGTTAGACTCTAATATACTGTAGTAGGATATATAACTACTACTATAGAGAGACAGTTGTCACTAAAATGTCAATGAAATCTGGAGACAAAATTCTATCATGACAGAAATTTAGAAGTGTCATTTTATGATTAACCTGAAGACAACACGAACACTAACTTTATCAAGAAATTTAACTTTATTGTATTAAGACAAAATTCTATCATGACAGAAATTTAGAATTGTCATTTTATGATTAACCTGAAAGATAACACGAACACTAACTTTATCAAGAAATTGAACTTTATTGTATTTAAAAAAAAAAAAAAAGGGAACCCTTTAGTTCCCCTAAAGGGGTGTCTGAGAGATGGGAGCAAGGAGGAGGGGGTCTTGCTGCATCTCAAGTCTAACACTCCCAGATGCACAGTCCCGCTACAGCTGTGTTAGTTTTGGCCAGTTTCCTTCCTGGCTACCCTCCCTGACAAACAGAACACTACAGAGCACTTACTGCTGCTTTCTTTTCTTTTCCTTTTTTTTTTCCCCTCCTTCTTTCTGCCAAATTCCTGAATAAAAAGACTGGAAGAACACTTGGCAGAAGTTAAGCAACTGGAACTTGGCAGCCAGGAACGAGGAGGGCAAGAGATAAGTGGCAGAGTCAGGGTGGGGGAAAGAACAAGGCAATAGTAGGCTGTTTGATTAACTACCTGGGTCTTATGAAAACATACCTGTATAGCTCTAGGGTCTTAGTATACAATATCCACAAAGCTGACCTATTTCTAATCTTGCTACAAAGATGCATTTAAGACTCAAGCTATAGCATTCCTCTTTCCACCTAAACAAATTGAGGAAAAAAACCCAACCCACACATTTCCCAGACATCCTCCAACTGCCTGTCTTTACTCATTCTTCCAGCCTTTCCTCCTACATCAGCATTTTTCATATTTTCTTCTGGTCATTCTCCAGTGTATCTACATCCTGAAGGAACAGGAGACAGGTGCAGCACCGAGTAAAGCACAGTAACCATTTTTTGGCACATCTACCCTGAATAAAAATTTCAGTCACATCATTTACCATGACAAGAGATATCTGCTCTTGAAGTATGTAATTTCTAAAGCCAGTTTAAAAAAAAAAAGTCATCACCTGCCAAATTTGCCACGTTACAACAACAGTAAGCAAACATGATCTAGAAATAAATACCTTATCAATGATACTGTCGATTTTTCCTTCTTCTACAGACTTCTTTATTGTCTGTGCTGTTTCTGCAACGGATTCAGATATCTTTTTTGTAGCAGCACTGGCAAAATTGAAGAGGTAACCTTTCACAGACAAGAAGAGAAAGAAAGACCTGAAATAAAGATCTCTTTACATCCAGTTCTCTTACTAGATTTATTTTCCTTTCTCTTTAGACATTTGGACACCTACTTGAAATCTTCTTTCAAAACCATTTAACCCAGCTTCTGGCCTACAAAGAACTCCTAAAATCCTATTTATTCTTTTCCAGTTCATGTTCTTTAGTGATGATGATCAAACTGTACATTTGATCACAGTTTTCTGTAAAACGAACTATTATACATGAACCTTGTTTGCTAAAATCAACCATTCCTAACAGTCTTTGAAATACTGCTTTTCAGTGACTTTTCTGAAGTAATGTGCCTTTCCTAATTTCACTTAGGTATTCTGGAGACATTAAACAATAAAGTAACTTTAGCAACAGTATTAAAATAGAATGATATATTTTTTAAAGAAAATCAACATGCACAATAAAGTCTCGTGAAATTAGGCAGCAAATGCCTTAAAATTTCAGGCAAGCAACACCTGAGATTCCTTCAGAAGTCTTAAGACAGAAGGTTACTCTCAATGCTTGCCCTTTTCTATTATGCATTGTCTTCCTCTTTTTAGCTCCACGAGAAGCACTGTGGCTTTTTGCTTATTTTTGTGAATATGTTCAGTATCAAAACAGCAGTAACATATTTTTTTTTAGCCCTTTTTTTTTTTTTAATATTAGCAATGCTGAAGTGAAGAAAGGGAAGAACTGTGTAGCATGGGCAGTTCTATTGTATTGTTCATTTTTAATTAAGGAGAACAGGCTTGCAAGATGTATATCACAAACCTTCATAAACATTAAATACCAGTTTATTGACAAAGGATCTTAACATTGGTAATGTTTATTTCTTAATGACAGGATGTCACAAGCACTTTATTACATTTGAACAGTTGTATTATGACTGTAATATCACAGTTACAGTACATACAATGATAAAATGCCCACAAATGCAACAGTAAATATAATAAGCGCAAAGGGATCTAGATAGATTGGGACATTGGGCAATAATCAATGGCATGACATTTAACCAGAACAAGCGCCGGATTCTGCAGCTAGGATGGAGTAATGCTGGGCACAAGTATAAATTGTGAGAGGACTGGCTGGAGAGCAGACCTGCAGAAAGGGATCTGGGAGTGCTGGTTGACAGCAGGCTCCATAGGAGCCACTGTGGGCCCTGGCAGCCAAAAGGGCAAACTGCATCCTGGGGTGCATCAAACTCAGCATAATTAGCTGGTCAAAAGAGGGGATTAATCCCCTGCAGTCACTGTTGGTGCAGCCCCAACTTGAGTACTGTGTGCAGTTCTGAACCCCACAATTTAAGAAGGATGTGAAGCTCCTTGAATGCGTCCAGCATTCACATTGTATTAAAAAAAGAAAAGCAGCTATCTTCTACACTTTAGATACAGACACATATACTACCCCCTTCTGACAGAGGATAAAGCAGCAGCCTACTGGATTGTTTCCTCCTTGCCTGCTTTTATTGCTGGGGTTTTTGTGTTTTTTTGTTTTGTTTTTTTAAACATATCCCTGGAAACTTTCTCAATTGTTTTAGGTGCAAAAGGTGCTGAACAATTTGCTGTCCAGCAACGCTTCAGTATTGTTGGGTAAAGTGGTTTTGACCAGTCCTGGAACCAGTCTGAAGAGCCAAATGCTTCTTATTTCCACTACAGGCAAATACTCTTCTGAACTGAGGTACTTATAAACCTCAAAAAAAGGTTTTGAAAGATAGAATTAGTGGTGGAAAAACAACACTTCCACTTTCAAATGACCAAGGTTTTCCTCCCTTTTACAAATCTAGGTCTGTATTAAGAATAAGTATCTAGCAATATTTCTATTAGTAGTTCACATTGAAAAAAAATCTCCTAACCTTTTAATGATGTGATAATGAGCAAAAAGCAATATCTGTAAGGGCTCAGTTTTACTACTAAATTTCTTTTTGTGGTAGGTGAGTCTTTCCACACAGCTACCCTGGTTGTTAGTCACGCGATTTTGAGAGTTATTGTGTGTTAAAACAGTGACATCCATATCCTCACAAAAAACTTTTCCACCACAATCTTCTCTAGCATCACCGACAAGACATAGACAGACACAGAACCATAAATCCATAGATCACTAAACCAAATTCTTGCTTCCAGAGAAAATTATGGGATGGACCTTTATGTCTGTGACAGTCAATATTCTCACCCTGAAAATTCAAAGACCTTTTTCCCTCCTGAATACAGTGGCTACTAGATTAGGATTGATTTCCAAGAACCAGACAAGTATTTGACCAAACTACGTAGATACTCTGCTGCAGCTCAGATAGCCCAAGGAAAAGCACAGTAAAGAACCACCTCAGACTAACCCTTCAGGTGATATTGATCCAGCGTTTCAGAGCACCAGTAAAAATAAAAAAAAAGCAACAAACAACAAACAAAACACAAACTTCAGCTGCGAGTGGGATCTGTACTTTGGATTAATTTTATCTAAGAATCTACTACAGTAAGGCAGAATTCTTACCTTTAGACAGTTACAGGCCTGCCTCATTACAGAGTAGTTAAACATAAATCAAACCATGTTACTTTCTTATGAACAAAAAACAATCACAGAAACCCCACACAACTTCATGGAAGACATTATTCTGTATGTACAGATCACTTCTCACACAGTGACAACAGATACTTAAAGAAATGCTGTTCATTTAATAACAATTCCGAAGAATATGATAACTAAAAGGAAGAACTGCAGCCATTTACTTGGTTCATGTTTTAAACATCCAATTTTTTATTGTTTTTCTTTTTATCTCCAGTGAGGCAACATCCTGTGCACATAATTGTCAGCAACTTCACTGAATTTTTAGAGTTGGAAGGGACCACAGAGATCATCTAGTCCAACTCCCCCGCTGAAGCAGGATTGCCTAGAGCTAGAGTGTTACTCAGGACTGCATCCAAGAGGAACGTAAATATTTCTATTTTAAAAGAGTCTCAGAAATGCAGAAAAATGAAGATGAAATTAGAGAATTGGGTCCCTTGCAAACTTCCAGCTTTATCGACTGCATAGGACTGTTTCACAACTGTGGAAAAGAGTGGACAAGCTACGTGAAAAACTACACAGAAGTGATGCATGCCATGGACTACAGATAACAAACATCATTTAAAAGAGATACAGAACAAAGATACATGAAAGCATAAAATAGAAAAGGGCAGGGGAAAATTACTTTTAGCACTTCTTCACCGAGATCATTTTGCATACTAGCTAAACTGACCTGAGTTATCATTTGCATATGGAAATATATGCTTTAGAACTGCTTTGTTTTGTTTTTTTTTTTTTAAGAGTATCCTGGTCACCTCAAACTTGTGTTCCTCCTTTTGCACCGGTGTGCAAGCTACACTGGAGCTGTGGCTGTCCAGACCAAAAGCGATTTTTCTTTTACAGTTGTTGAACTAGGCACAAACATGCTCAACTCATCTTAAATCCTATCTGTAACTGCTGAGCTCAGCTAAAACCTTGGTTTAAGTGCCAATGGTAAGTCCTGCTACCTTCTCCCCCTAGGCACGCACTAAACCAGCCTACCTTCAGTTCTCCAGCCGCTACCCTCTGCTACTCTCACTAAGCCAAGGGGGGCTTGCTGCTAAGTCTACCTTTTTTAAAAACAAAACAGAAAAACCCCACCCCGACCCACAGCAGCACTCCCCGGGTGACGATGCCAGCGCATAACACACTCCTCCAGCAAGCAAAGCTATTCCTTTACCCAAGCCTTCTCCCTGCAGGCAGCTCCCCCCGCCCCAGCAGCGCTGTGTGTGTGTGAGGGAGGGGAAGGCGACCCGCGGCCCACGGTACCGGCGGGGGCCCTTCGGACGCGGGGAGCCGCAGGGACAGCGGGTCGGCTGCGGGCGAGCCCGGGGGCTGGGGCTGCGGGGGCTTTCCCCGCCGGGTGCGGGCAGGACACTCACTGCCGAGTCCCTTGGCCTGGCTGAGGAGCGCCTCCGACTCCGCCTGCAGCTCCGCCGACTCCGAGCTCGGCGCGGCCGGCTCCGCGCCAACCGCCGCCTCCTCCTCCTCCTCTACGGAGCTGCTCCTCTCCTCAGCCGGCAGCAGCTTCTCCTCACCCGGCCGCTCCAGCCCCAACCAGCTGCCCAGGCCACGCAACATGGCGCGGGAGCGGCGGCGGCCGCGCTCCGGCCGTTAAAGGGGGCACTCCCGGCGCTGAGGGGACTCGCAGCCCTGTACGCGGAAGAAGGGAGCGGGCAGCCGGCCTTTCCGCATACGCCGCTTCCGCCGGAGCCAGGCGGGGCCGCGATCACCGGCGGGCGAGGTGGGGAGAGCGCCGCCACCGGCGGGGCGGGGAGAGGCCTCACGGGGAGAGGCCTCACGGAGCGCGGCTCCCCGCGGCCGCCAGCTTCCACCCCGAAGGGGGAGCGGGCGGGCCGGCCTGGCGGGCACGGCGTTGCCCGCGGACCGCCGGGGAGGTGCCACCTGTGCCTCCCCCCCGCCCCTTCCGCGGGTTCCGCGTCAGCCCGGTTAGCGGGCACGCCTCCGCTTCGCTGCCGGTTGGAGTATCCGCCTTTAAAACCCCCCAAAGAGGCGGCGCGGGGGCGGTAAGTCACAGGCCGGCGGCTGGCGGG